GGGCAAGAAAATGAAACATCGCGAAAGCACTATCAGAGTAAGGAATTTTAAACTGAGAACTGACGAACAATGGACGACGATACAGTTGAGGAAAGATCAAATGGAAGATCCAGACATCGGAGCAATACTACGGCTCAAGGAAGGTAACGGCGAGAGACCACCGTGGCAGGATATTGCGGACAGAGGGCTCGTTTTCAAAGCTCTCTGGGCTCAGTGGAATTCACTGGTGATTGAGAATGGATTGATAAAGCGCACGTGGGAAAGTGCGGATGGCAGGACAGTAACAACTCAGTTACTGGTACCAAGGAAGAAAGTCACCCAGGTATTGGAAGAAATTCACGGTGGTAAAACTGGAGCCCATCTTGGAGTAAACAAGACCTTGAGTAAGCTGAGAGACCGTTTTTACTGGGTGGATTATTGCGAAGATGTTAAGAAATGGTGTCAACGTTGTAAGATTTGCGCAGCTAGACAAAGACCAAGTACTCGATCTGGGGAAGAAATGGAACAGGATAGCGTTGGACTGTCGTTCGAAAGAATCGCTAGGAAGGAAAGATTATTGGACATTCATAAGGCCGTTAGAAGTAAGATTGCGCTAGCCAGTGACCGGATGAAAGCTCATTACGACCTCAGAGCTAATTCTACGGGATTTCAACAGGACGATAGGGTATGGTTGTATAACCCACAGCGCAAGAAAGGAAGGTCCCCAAAGTTAACTCCAGCATGGGAAGGTCCTTATACAGTCATCAAGAGGATAAATGATGTTGTGTACCGGATTCATCGCAGCCCTAGAAGTAAGATGAAAGTAGTTCATCTGGATCGATTGAAGAGATACCAGACAGGAAACCTTGATCGGGACGATCAAATTTGAGAAGGGGCAATGTCAAGGTGTATGTGGCGCCATCTGTCGGAGAAGCGAGCAACTAAAACCGCAACGTGTCCAGAAACCTGAAGACAATATTTTGTTGTAGCGCCATCTCTTAATCAAGTCGACAAGTAAGCGAAGCAGACAATAGAATGTACTAGTAGATGGCGGACCCGTCCCGATAATTTTAGATTGTTCGCGAAACACTCACCACAGCTATATAAAAGGAGCGCTTACGACAGTTGGGGAAGTTTAAAGTTTTTGAAATTTGAATATACCGCGTGGAAATTGAAAATCGGACAATTTGGTGAAGGAATCTTATAAATAGTTAGTTTGTTGTGTGTTATAAGTTAGTAATTGTGTATAAAGTGAGAAAATAAATTCGTTAAGTATTTTATCGTGAGTTTAAATAGTGGACCCACGGAATCCGTAACAATATATTACTTAAACAATTTGATTTAATTAATTTCGATATGTTCAGTTTCATTTAATGATGCAATTCTGCCAAAACTGTGATGCTGTTGTAATGAATTTTTAAATGCCTATTAGCTACTAGTAAATTTAAGTATACAGGGTCGGTCATAAAGTTCTGGCACATCAAATTTTTTTTTTTTTAAATGAAACCCCCTGTATATTATTGCATATTTCAATTATTCCTTCAATTTAAAGTAATAATCCTAATACACAATGCACATAAATTGAAGAATTGAAATGTTAAACGAAAATTGTGTAATTTCCTGACTTGATATAATCTCATTTTATACATCTGTAAATGCTAGCTTAAGAACTAATGTCAAATATTATTAAGTATCACACTTTCGGCAGAATAGATCGTTAAATGAAACTGAACATATCAAAATTAATTAAATCAAATTGTTTAAATGATATTTTCAAAAGTCAATAACTTGGAAACGGTTGGTTTGAGGCACATTGTGTGTATTTCGATTTTTGCTCAGAATTGAAGGAAGAATTGAAATATGCAATAATATACAGGGGGTTCTATTTAAAAAAAAATGAAACTTTGATGTGCCACGACTTTATGACCGACCCTGTATACTTAAATTTATTACTCTCTAATAGATATTTAAAAATCCTATAACTTTTGTATTTAACTTTTTGCGATACCTCCTACATATACCGGGTGCTTCTCAAAAGTGGCTCACCCCCTATAACTTTTTTATTTTTTCAGATAAAAGAACGAGATTTGGTATATTAGTATATGACATAAATTAAGATTGATTAACGTATTCAATTGTTTTTGGTCACTTCCTGTTTCACCGGAAATGACTACAAATTTTGATTTTTAAACGGTACCCTCGGTATTTTTTTACTTTATTTTATAGAAAATGCCATTCTGAATAGAATGACATATCATATGTCAACTTTTGACATTCTCGCTTTATAAAAAATCATATTTTAAAATTCAATCTAGAGTGCCATGGCTATGTTAAAAACACTAAGGGCGCAAACATAGTGAGGCATCTCGATGCGATGTTCGCCAAGATGCTGGCCGCGCTGCTCGCCAAGATGGTAGTCGCGATGCATCCTACGCGCACTGTTTTAAAACGGCGAATGGGTGCGCGTAGGATGCATCGCGACTATCGTACAAACATAGTGAAGGCATTTCATCTCGATGCGATGCTCGCCATTCACCTCGCCATCCGGCGATGCTGAATCAAACATGTACAAATTTATGCGTCAAAACATACTGGAGCCTCGCACCTCGCCACGCACCTAGATGTTCAGCGCGATGCTTCCTAAAAAACAAAATTTTTATTTTTTGCGAGAAGCGGACGCGGATGCCTGAAACTTTACATTTGATTGGTCGGTTTAGGATCACAATTCTTTGAGCATATGTCGAACTGAGTCGGGTGGAATAAAATGTTCACAATACTAATATTTAATTTATCACCAACAATGTAATAACCTTGATTCTACAGGGTCCGGCAATAGTGCGTCGCGCATCTGTAGTTCTAATAATAAAAAACTTATGAATTTTGTAGTCCAGACATAAAGTAGGTATTAGGACGTATTTGAGGAAAATATTTGAACTTCTAAAGGGTGGCTCAAAAAAGAGTGAGTGGATCGCGAATATTTTTTTAAATGGAACACCTATATACGGGGTGGCGCAACTCATTCGCGTCGGTTGATTATACGAAAACGGAAATATGTACAAACAAAATATTTTTTGGGCATATGTGGGAAGACCATGTGCATAATTTAAAATTATTTTGTAATGTACAGGATATGTCAGAACTAAGATTTACACCAAAATTATATTTTTTCTTATGGAACACCCGATATTTTATTTCTTATTTGGATCCTTGGACACAAAATAAGGCATGTATTATAAGGGTTATTATATATTAATATATGTTTACAAGCTTTGGTTTTTGAGATATTTAAATATGCATGCTACAATGGAATAGATTATCAACACCCTGTACATTACTTTTTAGAATTAATTCTTTTGCTGAGTTTAAAGATAGAGAAATAAACTTTACTGAAAAATTGTATTGCTCCCTTAAATTTATACAGGGGTACCAAAAATGAGTACCATTGTTTACTCACTTGTTTCGTCGAACTGCTTGAAAACATTTTTGCTTTTGATCAAATCGGTGTGAGAAACTATGATGCTATAAAATTTTGTTTCAGGAGAGTTGAATATCCGGGAAAGTTGAGTTATTGAATGTAATTGCACCCAACAACGCCCTAATTGCGCTCTCCTTTATGCGTTAACATTTTTTCGGCAATTTTATTAACATTTGACATAGACACAACACAGCACGACGCCAACGCCTAGTTCAAATTCTTTTTCATTTATTTTTTACTGTTCCCGAAACAGCGTTACATCACACAAACCTGGTACCTGAGTGTTTTATCTCTTTTTGTCTCAATAACTGCACTAGCAAAAAACTAAAATACTTATATATTATAACAAAACCACGATTTCAATATTATTCTATGCGATCAACATGACGGCGACGTGAAATAGATAGGGATAATTTCTGATTTTTGCCATTGACTCGCTGCGGTAGGAATTTGTTGAAATCAACTGAAATGCCTATACTAATTAATAACTACTATTACATAAACTGGTGCTTAATAAAACAACGATGGTAAATGTTTCAGTATGCCAACGCGCACCGATTCGCCGTTTTAAAACAGTGCGCGTAGGATGCATCGCGGCTACCATCCTGGCGAGCAGCGCGGCCAGCATCTTGGCGAGCATCGCATCGAGATGCCTCACTATGTTTGTGCCCTAATTCTTAATCAAGGAGCCTTGGAAAAATAGATCTGATCCTCTAATGTTTTTAGTGTCTTGTTCTGGGGAGTTAGAGAATGTTCAAATCGTATTTTTAATCATATCTCAATTTTCTCAAATGGAACGAGGGTGGCTCATTAACATATTTCGAAAAAGCATTTTTACGAATAATTTGATACCACACGCTTGGTATTTCGAGTCAAATTTTCGTTACGAACCGCAAGTTATATTGTCAAATAAACCATATGTGAAAATGTCAAAAGTTGACATATGATATGTCATTCTATTCAGGATGTTATTTTCTATTCAGTAAAGTAAAAAAATACTGAGAGTGCTATTTAAAAACCAAAAGTTGTAGTCATTTCTGTGAAACAGGAAGTGACCGAAAACAATTGAATACGTCAATCAATCCTAATTTATGTCATATACTGATACCAAATCTCGTTCTTTTATCTGAAAATATAAAAAAGTTATAGGGGGTGAGCCACTTTTGAGACGCACCCGGTATTTTACCAATAATCGACCGTTTCCATACATAAAAGCGAACCTGTATATGTACACTTAATACTTAATATGACGTGTACATGCAAGAAACTTGATATTAGGTTTTTTCAGAGTAGTAGGCCACCGTGTTTAATATAACAACAAATTTATTGTTTTATCTGGATGTTACAAGAAAAAATAATTTAATTAAAATAGTTTGGTCTAGCTATCACTGTTATCGTTAGTGTGTTGTTTGAACTTGAAACTTTGTTTTGGACGATTTCATAATCATTTATCAAATTATTTTAATATTTTCATATACCATTTTTATATGCTTCTAGAATACAGAATCCTTCAAAGTAGTTTACATTGTTCTTGTTCTTCTCCTAGATCAACTTCCAAAACCACTGCATCAACCACAAAAGCGCAGACGAAGTTACCATGTTTCCTTGTCCTTACTGCTCCTACCAATCCAGGCTGAAGCGCAATCTGGCATGGCATATGAAACGTCACGCCGACCCCACCAAAGCCAAAATCTTCAAGTGCCCTTCTTGTGACTACCAGACCTTCACCAATGCCCAACTCAAGTCCCATCTTATGGTACATAAGAGCAAAGAAGAAGTGGTAATGCTGAAATGCGATTTTTGCCCTTTCGAAACTAAAAGAAAGTCGAATATAGTTCAACACAGGCTGCGCCATTTGAAAGATTCGCCCGATGTCCCGCTTTTGTCCTGTCCTGACTGTAACTATACCACAGTAGCGAAGAGACATCTTAATAAGCACCGGAAAACACACAATGTGAATCCTGATAAGATGTTTCAGTGTTCATATTGTCCCTTTAAGATTCACAGGAAGGTGTATCTGATGAGACACATGGAGAACCATAAAAACGTAGATCCAGTGGAATCTCCGTGGGAGAGGTACCCGTATGCCCCTCAGGGGAACGTGGGAGTGACTATAGTGCCTAATTTGGGCCAAAATATGTCCCATAGTTTTTAGGGTTCAGCCTTTAGAATTATAAGATGTTTATGTTTCTAAAAACTACTCTTATGCTTTTCCAAACCAAAAGAAAGTTGAACACAGTCCAGCATATATTGGATCAGCTCAAGGATTTGCCTCTTTTGTCCTGTGAACACCCAATGTGAATTTTCGTAAGAAGTCTCACATTGTGTAAGAGGGTACATCTATTGAAGAGCCACCATAAGTTTCTATACCAGTAAGCGTTCAGCGACGCAATGTGAGTACATTAGTAGAGGATTTTAACTAAGTTTCTATACTATTTTCTGTATTACCACCAATAAAGACGAAAACCTAACATAGATAGAATTTCCGCAATCTTATGAGAATATGGTCATGAAAACAAAATTATTAAAAATCAAAATACCTCTTTTCTATAAGACCGCATTCAGAATCAAATTTCTCAGTGAGTTTTTACTTGAACGTAAATTTTCCTAATAAATAAAAAAAACTTTACTTGACCAACAAAAAAAGTAGTTCTGATCAGAAAATGAAACGACTGACCATTAAAAAAAGTTCATCGTCTGTGGACGACGAGGAAACATTTTTCTTAAGGCCCCCATACACTTCGTTTATTTTGCTCGGTTTTAATTATACAGTTAAAAACGCGTGGGTAGAAACCACGGGCAAGCAGCTTACACACACTGTATCACCTTGCCCAGTTTATTTTACCCGCGACGTAGACGATGGATTATATAAAAAACTTGCTAGCAGTGGCAGTAATAGCTGAAAAAAGGAAACTCCAAAAAGGGAATAGAGAAAAATCTTGCAAAAGTTGGCTACTTAAGCGGCAACAATTTTCGTATACTAATTTATTAAGCGATCTTCCCATAGTCATTATTTTTTTTTTGTGTTTAACACTCCCTTAAAAAGTCAGTTTTCTTTTTTACACTTTCCTTATTTGCCCGAGAGTCTAGTCTATAGACTTGGTGCATTTCAGTTGATTTCAACAAATTCCGACGGCAGCGTTTCAACGGCATAAATCAGAAATTATTATCAGTATGTATTTCACGTCACCGCGCGGTCATGTTGATCGCATTAAAATAATATTAAAATCGTGGTTTTGTCATAATATTTAAGTATTTTACTTTATTGCTAGTGCAATTATTGAGACTATAAAAACTCAGGTACGAGGTTTGTGTGATGTAACGCTGTTTCGAGTAGTAAAAAATATGTGAAAAAGAGTCCGAACAAGGCATCGTGTTGTCTTGTGACAATTTCAAATGTTAATAAAATTGCCGGCAAAATGTTAACGCGTAAATGAGAGCGTAATTAGGGTGTTGTTGGATAGAATAACATCCAATAACTCAACTTTCCCGGATATGCTACTCTCACGAAACAATATTTTATATTTTCATAGTTCATCACACCGATTTGATCGAAAGCAAAAATGGATTCAAGCAGTTCGACGAAACAAGTGAATAAACAAAGTGCTCATTACATAATCAAAAAATTAAATAGACATGCTATAAGGGGATAAAATATAATTTGCCATATTAATGGTATAGTTTTTTTAATCAACTAGTGATTAAATGTTTTATGAACATCTAAAATTATATTAATGTACCTTTAAAAAATGTTGTTATAGCCGAACTAGCCCCAATTATGCCCCACTAGCAAAACCGGTGATTAAAACTATGCTCACTACCCTAGTTGAACTCATCTAAAAAGTTTTTTTAACTGGAATAATAAATTATAATACAAGGTAGACCTTCTGATAATATCAAAATATTATTTACTTTTTTATATTTGTTTTTAGAATTTTTACAAATTATACTTTCTAATACTTTTAGAATAATTAAATAATAAATTTTTCGTGTACTATTTAAACCCATGTATTTGTATATACTAGTTATTTACGATATTCTCCGATGGTGGCAGCACCGACGGGGAACGCACCAAGCCTATATCTTGGCATTTTGCTATCAATTTATTACAAACCATTTTTTCTTGCCTGTATGATCCGCAGATTTAATTTTCCATAGGCACGGAAAACTATATATCTCAATAAATTCAAAGGTTAATTATTTAATGTTAGTAATCGTTTTTGTCAAACAAAAGCACCGAAAACAATAAACACAACCAAACTTATATGGAACCATCTATTATTTCTCATAATTTTTGAGACGTATGAACATTTTGTGTTTATGAATAAAACTCAGTCCTTACCAAAGACTTAATGAAAAATAATCCATATAGCAATAAAAAAAATTCATCAGTTCCCAAAATAAACACAGGTATGGTATTTTTTGGTTTCTGAAACGAAATAAGATTTTTAATGGCCAAAAAGCAAAAACAAAAAGAAAATTGATAATTTTAGTAATCCGTGTTGCCACCTCTAGCCCTTATGCAAGGTTCTATCGGCGCTGGCATGCTTTTTATTGAATTATCAACGTTGTCGTGGGATATGTTCTCCCATTCTACTAATGCTGCATCAATAAACTGTGCGAGATTTCCTGGATTATTTCGACGAGCTCTAGCCCTTCTTTTGAGCTGGTCCCACAAGGGTTCGATAGGGTTTAGATCTGGTGAACATGCAGGCCGGTCCAAAACTATGACATCTTCAGTTTCAAGACATTCTCTAGCTACTCTGCTAGTATGGGGAGGTGCATTATCGTGCATGAAGTTAAAATTATCCCCAAGTGCAGCTTTCCAAAGCCTAACGATTGGTTTTTATTTCATAAAGCATTTAATCTAGCACTAAATTAACATACCTCCGACCCGTTAAAGTTTATTGAAGTGGTAACCATGGAGTTTTTGCTCCCAGCATAATACCTCCCCAGAACATTACAGTTCCATTTTTATATCTTGGTACAGATTTGGAAACCTGGAGTCTCGCTCGTCTTCCTAGAGCTATAAGAACCGCTCTCTTCCCCTCTGTACATCTGTTAATCCAGCATAAGACATTTTTTTTTGGCTCAAATGAAAATTATCGGACAATCGTGATTTTTTTACTTTAACACAAAATTCATAAGAAAATAAATCGCAGCAATCGTTTCTTTAGTATCTTAGACTAATCTAAGTTTAATATCATGTTTATTTAAAACAAAAAAAAGTTGTATACCAATTTTTTTCCTTGCAAAAAGTTTAGTCAGAAATAAAGAGTGATTCCATATAAGTTTGGGGGTGTGTATATAAATAACTAAAAAGTTCTGGTGCGTACTGGCTGGAATAAAATTGCGATATAAACTGCCCATATAGGCTTGGTGCATTCTCCGCCGGTGCTGCCACCATCGGAATCAATTGGTAATAATATCGTAAACAATTAGTATATACAACTACACAGGTTTAAATAGCGAGTATACGAAAAATGCATTATATAATTATTCTAAAAGTGTTAGGAAGTATAATTTGTGAAAATTCTAAATATAAAAATAAAAAGTAAATATTTTGATCTTCTAAAGATTTTAATCTTCAGAAGGTCTAACTTGTATTAAAATTTATTATTCCAGCTAAAATATATATATTTTATACATAGTTTTGCTAGTGGGGTTATAATTGGGGCTATTTCGGCTATAATGAAGCTACATAATTATAATTTTAGATGTTCCTAAAGCATTTAATCACTCGTTGATAAAAAGAAAAGTATACCATTAATATTGCAAATTATATTTTATCCCCTTATAGCATATGTCTATTTAATTTTTTGATTATGTAATGAGCATTTTGTTTACTCACTTGTTTTGTCGAACTGCTTGTAATTTTGCTTTCGATCATTTCCTTGCATTTTGCTTTCGATCAAATCGGCGTGAGAAACTATGAAGCTATATAAAATGTTGTTTCGGGAGAGTTGAATACCGTTTCAGAAAATTATGGCGGACATAACATGATTTTTTAAATGTGTCACCCTATTTTTTATTTTATATTTAAATTCTGCATAAAATTCTATATTTTTTATATACAGGGTGGTCCGAACTGTATTCCGGAAACTTCGGCCAGCATATTCTGCCGATCATTTTTTCGCAGAAAAAATTATGATTAATTTAAAAAAATATTTTTTTTTATTTCAGTCATATAGCTATCCTCAACGTCTACTTATTTTTTGTCAATAATGACATGTATTGACTATTTCCATTCTAAATATCTTGAGAACGGTTGCTCGTAGCGATTTTTACCAAGAGACATTTTTTACGTAAAAAGTCATGGAAATGTATATTTTTTCAGTCAGTAGTTTTATACCGGTACGGACGAAAAGTTATTACTCTCCAAAAAAGTTAAAACACATGTAGGTGGCGCCCTCTACAAATAGGAATTATTTTTTCATCAAAATCAAATTTATCGTGTCACAAAACTCACAGACGCCAATTTTCATCGAAATATTGACGTTACTTCAGAAATTATTTGGAAAAAATCGAAATAAAAATGAAACTTCTACATCCTGTATCTTCGAAACTAAGAATTTTTCGACATACATTTATACGAACTTTTTTACTTATTTTTATGTGCGGAATATGCTGCCGAAGTTTCCGGAATACAGTTCGGACCACCCTGTATAATGCTGAATACCTAAAATTCTTATTAAAAAATGTTTTTTTCCGTATTGTAGAAAAAATCAATAGCGCTATTGTTTCTGAAGTTGGAACACCGGAATTTGATAATTTAACTTTCCCCTACCAATTCATTTTAGCAGATATGGCAATATTGTTCAAACAAAAAAAATACAAAATTTGCCGAAGATTATGGTGCCATTATTTAATAATACCACTTATCTAGGCAATATTTTGTAAAAGTTCCATTTTCTTATTAGTCACAGCAGTTGCAGCCTTAGAGTCCATTTTAGAAACTTGAAAATAATTTCCAGCAATTTCTCATGGCTTTTTTCTGTCTTAAATATTTTTCTCCGCAGGCTCTACGGCTAATACTTTCCGAGATACAATCGAGAGCTATTCTTAGTGGAACACCCGGTACAGTTAAAATATCTGGTGAAGACTGGGCCGTTCTTCCCCAAATTGGACCCCAGTGTTGCCCGTTCGGTTGAAACCGGACAAAATAACCGAAGTGTATTGGGGGCTCTAGAATGTAAGTTTTTATTGTTGCTTAAGCTAATTTGTATCTGCACTGCCAAACCAGTGTCTTTAAACAAGAGAAAGATAGTTTCTAAGTATTTTGTTTCAGTGGCGATATCTCCAGAACTTGCAGGAATAAACCCGCTTCAAAAGCATTGTTACATTACTTACAATACAACCTCCTTAATCGAACACATGTTAATCGGAACACCCCAATTGCGATGTTATTCTATTTAAATGGTTGTAGACGTGTCAAAGAAAAAGTAGCATACAATACCTGCCGCGAATAGCGACATCTCCTATGACAAATAATGAAGATTACAAGTTCAGGGTACAGTTGTTAAAATTCTCCATAAAAAAACGATTTTTATTCATTTCATCAATATCTTGTCTCGATTTTTTCGTATTTCTAAAAATAAGCCTTTCTAGGCGTAAATTTTCTATGAACAAATGTATCTTTACCAACGTCATTGTCTTTTAATGGCTAAGAAACAATTGAAACAAAGCAAAGTACCGCTCGTTCAATATGAACACCACAACGCTACATAACGCCTGACACGGAATCGCTCGATGCCCGACGCGCAGAGCTCAATACCAGGCACAGAATCGTTTAATAGAGAATAGTGATAGTTTACTGAGATTTGTTGTAGTTTTTAAGCATCACAGATTTTATTTTTGGAAAAAGGTATAACATAGAGGCTATAAAATTTTACTAGGAGATATAAAATAGTTTCGCTCATAGTTTTTATTTACAAGTGGCAAGTTTCAAAATTATTAACATAATGAGAAATTCAAAAACATCACATTCAAGATCAATTAATCCTGGCAAGCTGTCTTATGCTTTATTGATTGTGCTGACCCTTTCGATTTTTCTTTTATTTGTCTGTATTTATACAAAAATAAAAAATTACCAGATTTAACATCAGAATGCTTCTCTTGAATTAAAAATTTTCATATGATCACACACTATTGAGATTATTTTTTAAACCATTCATGTATTGTAAAAACTGTAAATATTTTTTACTAAATTGTTTACTGAAGGTAATTAATTTTTAACCGGCCGTAGCTCCAGCTGTAGTAGCTTACTTCGGGTTTCTCTTATTACCGATTCTGAACCGTCCTAGAAATGTGATGCGTATGCGCAGAAGGAAATATGAAGACATTATTTCATTTGCGCACGCGCTGCAGAGCTCTAGGACGGTTCAGAATCGGTAATAACGAACCCGAACAAAGCTAGTGTGTCGAACTGCTGTGCGAACGGTACTGGTGTACTGGATCCCCAGTCAGTACGGTGGCTGTATTTATTTAAATAAAAATATTATTTTTCTAAATAGAGCGACCAGCGAGCCGCCACCTCAGGAAGGCAATGGCAAACCACTTTGAATAGATTTGCCGAGTACAGCCTCTCAAATAGTGCCGATCGGATTTGACGATAAACTGTAGGTACTATGTACTTGTGCACACTTATGACACACATCACAATACACTCTGTATAGAGCACGGCACTGACAGAAGAAGAATTATTTTTTAGTACTCTATATTTGGTTTAGTGGAAATATAAAAATAACTATTTTCAAGTGTCACAAAAGTATTAATTGTTGCGACGCCGACGTGATTGACATGTATATAAAAATCTAATATACAGGGTGGTCGGAACTGTATTCCGGAAACTCCGCCAGCATATTCTGCAGATAAAAATAAGTAAAAAAGTTCGTATAAATGTATGTCCTAAAATGCGTAGTTTCGGAGATACAGGATGTAGTGTAGAAGTTTCATTTTTATTTAGATTTTTTCCAAATAATTTCAGAAGTAACGTCAATATTTGGATGAAAATTGGTGGATGGGTATTTTTTGACATGAGAAATTTGATTTTGATGTCAATATGACTCCCATTTGTAGGTGGCGCCACCTACATGTGTTTTAACTGTTTTGAAGAGTAATAACGTTTCGTCGGTACCTGTATAAAACTACTGAGTAATATACATTTCCGACTTTTTTTTACATAAAAAAGGTCTCTTGGTAAAAATCGCAACGAGTAATGGTTCTCGAGATGTTTGGAATCGAAATTATCAATACCTGTCATCATTGACATAAATTAAACATGTTGACTAAATAAATATTAGACTGAAATCATAAATTTGAAATATTTTTGTGTCAAAAGTTCAAAAGAAACTGTTTAATCATCATTTTTCGCAAAAAAACTTATGATTAATTTAAAAAAATAAAAACGTATTATTTCAGTCAAATAGCTATACTCAACGTGTGTTATTCTTTGTCAATAATGACATGTGTTAAGGCCTCATTGCTAAAATTATAAAAAAAATTGGCAACACTGTCTAGAACGCCAACCCTTTCGTCCTCTTCAACCAACATGGCGAACTAGACTAGACGTGCTTCGTGTCGATCCGTCAAAAAGTCAAAATAAAAAGTGTTTACAGTCCACTTTGGGTTTTATTACCCCATACAAAACATTGGTCCAATCGAACCGGATAAGTAGTGTCAGTTTTAAAAGGTCTAGTTCTGCCACGTTCTGCCGTAATCGCAGTAAAAATCGATATTGTTGGTCGATTAGCAAAAAAGCAGAAGCCATCTTGTGAATCGGAAACCAACGCAACGGAGGAGTTGGATTGTTCCACCAAAGGGTTCTTCAAGAAGGGCTATTGAGGTTAGTGAGAAGTTAATTAATAAAAGTATTTTTTCTGTCTGTATTTTAAAATGTCCGAGGAAGCAAATTTAAAAGCTAAAAAAGCGTCGTTAAAAAGTAAATTAACGAGATTTAAAGATTTATTGAAAGTATTAATAAAAGATGAATTAAATGATGAAATAATCAGGGGAAATTGAAACTCGGTTAGAGAATATTGAACCTGGGCTAAACGAGTTTACTGAAATTATTTTACAATTAGGTATTTTAATAAATAATGTAGAGGAACTTGACTTGGAAGAAGCCGAATATGAGAAAAAATATTTTGAAGTAGTGGGTAAAGCAAAATCCATTATTAAAATTTATTATAATGAATCAGATAAAAATTCGGCACAAGATCAATTTGCTCCAGGCTCAGCAAGTATTAATAATAGTTTAAATAATATTGGTATAACAAATAATCCATGTATTAAACCATCAATAAAATTGCCCCCCATAACCTTGCCAAAGTTTAATGGTCATTATTGTTCTTGGTTAGAATTTAAGGATACTTTTACAAGTTTGATTGACCAAAATGAGTGTTTAAATGAAACCCAAAAGTTTTTTTATTTAAAATCCTCGTTGGATAAAAGTGTCCTTGAAGTTATTCAATCGGTAGAAGTTACTGCCAATAATTATAAAGTTGCGTGGCAAATTTTAGTGGATAGGTTTGAGAATAAAGCCTTAATGATTCACAATCATATTCAAAGTATTTTTGAGCATCCTAAATTAACTCATGAGTCACACAAAGATTTAAGACATTTATACGACACAGTAACTAAACATTTAGGTTCACTAAAAAGTTTGGGAGAAAACACTGATTCTTTGGGATCGATTAATAATTTATATCTTGGCAAATAAATTTGATTTAACAACACGACGCGATTGGGAAGAGTTTAAATACGAAGAAAATTTACCAAGCATGAATGATATAAACAAATTTCTTAAATCCAAGTGTGAAACATTAGAAAAATTGAAATTACATTAAAAGACAAGAATAATTCATTTAATAAAAATAAAAGACCTGGTAGTCATGGTTTTACGGCAATTTCAAATGATGTTAAATATCAATGTTATCATTGTAAAGAAAATCACAGTATTTTTAAGTGTGAATCATTTTTAAATCTTGCAGTAAATCAAAGAATTGATGCTGTTAAAAAACTAAAACTTTGTTTAAATTGCCTCAGGCCATCACACCCATCCTGGAAGTGTAAGCTAAATAAATGTTCTAAATGTCAAAAGGCTCATAACACAATTTTACATTCGGATACAATAAATAATAATTCAAAAGCCGCAGCCACAACCAGTGGTGCAAACCGTCGTCGTAGCGAAGTTTCAAACGGCGACGCGACGGAGCCATCAGCTGGTGCACTAGCGCAGGCGGAGAGTTTCTCGGCACATGCGAGGCCGTGCGAGGTTGCCGCGTCTTTTAATAATTCCCAAGTTTTACTGTCGACCGCAATAATTAAAATTAAATTAAATAATAATGAATTTAAATGTCGTGCTCTGCTAGATAATGGTTCTCAGAGTAATTTCATATCTGAAAACTTTTGTAAAAAATTAAATTTGCCTATAATTAAAGTAAAGCATGCAGTTAAAGGTATTGGAGAAACTTTAGCTAATATAAATAAAAAGGTAAACATTGAAATAAATTCTAATTTAAATAATAATTTTAATATAAAAATAGATAATAATAGATTACAGATAACTTACCTCTTTTTACATTTAATAAAAATAATTTAAAAATCCCGTTTGATATTCAATTAGCAGATCCAAATTTTAATGTGTCTCAGGAAGTTGATCTGTTACTAGGGGCCGAACTATTTTGGTCTAGTTTAATGCCTGAGCAAAAATCTCTTGGAAATAAATTACCAATTTTACAAAACACCTTATTTGGATGGATAGTTGCAGGTAATATGATATTAAATAATAATCAAACTAATATGTCAGTGAATTGTTTAAGTACCGTTCAAGATTCTTTTTTAGATAATAAAATATTACAATTTTGGGAATTAGAAGAAATAAATAATAAAAAAAGGATATTATCAGAGTCTGAAACATACTGTGAAACATTTTTTGAACAAACTAAAGGAAAGGATAAAGAAAATAGGTTTATTTTAAAAATTCCTTTTAAAAATTCTGTTTCTAAATTAGGAGCGTCTCGTAATAATGCCTTACAACGTTTTAATGCTTTAGAAAGAAAATTAAGTAAAAATATTGAATTAAAAAATGATTATATCGATTTTATTCAGAATATTATATCCTTAATCATATGTCTGAATTTGATGATTCTGATGAATCAAATCACGACGGATATTATTTGCCGCATCATGCAATTATAAAAGACACTAGTTTGACCACGAGAGTTCGAATAGTATTCGATGCGTCCTGTAAAACCAGCAGCGGACTATCCTTAAATGAAGTTAGTTTAAGGGTCCTACTTTACAACAGGATATTTTTGAAATTTTGAGTAGATTTCGTACTCCATAAATTTGTTTTAACAGGTGATATAAGTAAAATGTACCGACAAATTCTTATTCACGAGGATGACCAAAATATCAAAAATATTTTGGCGTGCTAACCCTGATGATGAAATAAAGTGTTATAAATTACACACAGTTACTTATGGGACGGCTTCGGCTCCCTATTTAGCTAATAAAATGCTTATTTGAACTTGTGAAGAAAATAAAGATAATAATTTAATTAGTAAAACAATAAAGGAAGATTTTTATATGGACGATTTATTAACAGGTGCGGATACAGAGGAAAAACTTCTGTATATTCAAAAACATGTCTCTAATATTTTAAGTAAATCTGGTTTTGAACTTAGAAAATGGCTATGTAATGATAATAATATTTTAAACAAATTTGAAATAAATAAAGATTTAGACGCAGCTATTTTATGTATTGGTCAAAATGAAGCTAACAAAACTTTAGGTATATTTTGGGATGCCCAAGGTGACTTCTTAAAATACAAAATTAATTTAGATACAATTAAAATTGAAAAAATTACAAAAAGGTCAATTCTGTCAGCGGTGTCTCAAATATTTGATCCGTTGGGGGTATTGGGGCCGGTGATAGTTATTGCTAAATTAATTATTCAGGAGATATGGAAATTTAAGTTAGATTGGGACGCGGAATTACCGGAAAAAATTTGTAAACTTTGGATAGAATTAAAAATAATATTTTATCAATTAATCAACTAAAAATAAATAGATATGTTCTTGATCCTAATTTTGTAAAAATTGAGCTACATGGCTACAGTGATGCGTCAACAAAAGCGTATGGCGCTTGTATTTATATACGTTGCCAGTTACAATCTGGAGAATATATTAGTAATCTTTTATGTGCTAAAAGTCGGGTAGCACCTTTAAAACAAATAAGTCTTCCCAGATTGGAACTGTGCGCAGCGCAGCTCTTGGCTAATCTTGCTGATAAAGTGGTAAATAGTGTACATATTAAATTTAATAAATTTTATTTTTGGTCTGATTCCAATGTCACTTTATGCTGGATTTATGGTGAGGCATCATCTTGGAAAACTTTCGTGGCCAATAGGGTCAGCGAAATACAATCTCTTACTAGAAAAGAAGATTGGAATTACGTTCCATCTAGTGATAATCCAGCTGATTTACTTTCTCGCGGTGTAAATCCTCAAACTTTAATAAATAATAATTTATGGTGGCACGGACCAAATCAACTTTTAATAGATAACAGTAATTGGAAACCTTTTGAATATAAGCAAAATAAAAGTGAAATCCCTGAACAAAAAACAATATCTTGTGTCTCAAATAATGTAACAAATAAAACGTTACTTCAAAAATTAACTACTTGTACTAATTTAGTAGAAATTTTACATGTCTTGTCTTATTCTTTTCGTTTTTTAGATTATATTAAAAATAATAATAAATACAATAACATTCCTAAATCTTTAACTCCAGAGGAGCTAGATCATTCTTTAAATTGGTTAATAAGGGAAGCTCAAAGAGAAATTTATTCGGTTGAATTTAATAATCTATTAATAAATAAATCAGTTCCTATAAAAAGTAAAATTTTAAGTTTAAACCCAATATTAAGAAATAATTTAATTTGTGTAGGAGGTAGATTAAAAAATGCTAAACAAGAAAATGAAATTAAATACCCAATAATTTTACCTAACAATCATTTTATAACAAAATATATTTTAGAAAATGAGCACAAACGACTTTTGCATTGTGGAGCTCAAACCCTTTTATATTCAATCCGTGAAAAATATTGGTTAGTGTCCGGTCGTAATACATGCAGAAGTATTGTAAATAAATGTTTAAAATGTTTTAAAGCCAAACCGAAAAATGTAAATTATCTTATGGGTGATTTACCGGAAGTGCGGGTAAATACTTTTGGTGTTTTTGAAAATGTTGGCACGGATTATGGCGGACCATTTTATATAAAAAATAAAAAGGGTAGAGGAGCTACCACTAGCAAAGCTTATTTATGTCTGTTTATTTGCATGAGCACTAAAGCTGTGCATCTTGAACTTGTGTCGGATTTAACAAGTGAATGTTTTATAGCGGCTTTAAATCGATTTACTTCTCGCCGTGGAAAACCAAAAAATATATATTCCGATAACGGTCTTAATTATGTAGGTGCAAATAGGGAATTAAGCCAGGTTTACAATTTTCTAAACGAGAACGCCGCATATCTTGGAAATAAACTAGCCGATGAAAACATATTTTGGCACTTTATTCCTGCAAATTCTCCTACTTTCGGCGGACTTTGGGAAGCGGGAATAAAGAGCGCGAAACATCATATAAAAAGGGTTATCGGTAACACGCCTTTAACATTTGAAGAATTCGGAACTTTTTTAGTACAGATAGAAGGTATTTTAAACTCTCGCCCTCTTTGCCCTCTAACTGAAGACCCAGAAGATTGTGCCTCTCTTACGCCAGCACATTTCTTGAATGGCCGTACCATAACCTCAACCCCTCAACATAATTTAACCGATGTAGCTGAAAATCGTTTGTCCAGATGGCAGCACATTCAGGCAATGGTGCAACACTACTGGCAAAGGTGGCAGAAGGAGTATCTGGGAGAACTCCAAACCCGCACAAAATGGCGAAGGCGTTTTGATGAAATTATAAAGGTGGGCTCTATGGTTCTCATCAAAGACGACAATGTACCTGTCCTGGAGTGGCGACTTGGTCGTGTTACAGAGCTTCATAGTGGCGCCGACGGTGTTGTGAGGGTGGTTACTGTGAAGGGACAATTTGGTTCCTTAAAACGCGCTATAAATCGCATTTGTGTTCTCCCCGTAGAGACAGAAATTTAAAATAATTAATGAACTGTTTTACGTTCAATTAAAAAATTAGTTTAAGAATGTTAGTAATAACAATGTTCTTTTTTTTAAATACTTTATTTTGCAAATGTTGAAAATATCATATATTTTTCAAATTTTTGTATGTTAAAATTAAGTATATTTAGCAATATTTTTTGTACTGTGCACAATAATATTTAATATTATATTATTCTTGTTTTGAAAGTTCATAGGCTATGTCCTTTCAAGGTGGCCGGTATGTTAAGGCCTCATTGCTAAAATTATAAAAAAAATTGGCAACACTGTCTAGAACGCCAACCCTTTCGTCCTCTTCAACCAACATGGCGAACTAGACTAGACGTGCTTCGTGTCGATCCGTCAAAAAGTCAAAATAAAAAGTGTTTACAGTCCACTTTGGGTTTTATTACCCCATACAAAACAACATGTATTGACTATTTCCATTCTAAATATCTTGAGAACGGTTGCTCGTAGCGATTTTTACCAAGAGACATTTTTTACATAAAAAATCATGGAAATGTATGTTTTTTTAGTCAGTGGTTTTATACAGATACGGTCGAAAAGTTATTACTCTTCAAAACAGTTGAAAGCACATGTAGGTGGCGCCCCCGCGAAATAGGAGTAATTTTGACATCAAAATCAAATTTCTCGTGTTACAAAACTCCCAGATACCAATTTTCTTCCAAATATTGACGTTACTTCAGAAATTATTTGGAAAAAATCGAAATAAAAATGAAACTTCTACACACTGTATCTCCGAAACTATGCATTTTAGGACATACATTTATACGAACTTTTTTACTTATTTTGATCTGTAGAATAGGCTGCCGAAGTTTCCGGAATACAGTTCGGGCCACCCTGTATAAAATTATCTTGTCATATAGTTTTAGTTACCATACTTCTCCGAAACGAAATGTATATTCGTATTTTTTATAACCCTAGGATGGCCCGCCCCAATTTTTTTTTGGACAAAATTTTTAATTTTTTATGATGTGGCATTAAAAAATAGGGGTTCTACCTTCTACCATCAACAACTAGTTTTTAATAGTTGTTGTTACCATACGCCTCCGAAACGGCTTAACCGATTTTGATGAAATTTTATATGTATATTCAGTAGGTCTCAAAATAGGTTGTTATCTATTTTTTATACCCCTAAGTGATATGGGTGGCCCAACTCAAATTATTTTTTGTTATTTTTAGGCAAAATTTTTTATCTTTATTTTTTTTATGATGTGGCATTAAAAAATACATACAACCCTAAATTTTCACCCTTCTACCATCAACCCCTATTTTATAATAGCGATATTAGTAATTCAATAATTTTAATTTAACAACAAATTGTTTTTAAAAATTGTTAGAATACCTTAAATTAAAAACGTGAGTATGATTGAGTATACAGTATGTCCCCGGATTGTCTTTACAAGAGGAAAAAAACTTTTTTACTATTGACGTTTTGAGTAAAATGCATTCTTCATAAAAAATTTTGCTTGTCTTAAATGATCTGTTTATACCTTTCCAAGTTGCCATACTGTTTTAGAGATAATTTAAAAAAACAATAAATATACACGTGTGGCAAAATTTCATTAGCAATAGGAGCTTTTCAATGCGATAAAAAAAGATGGTAAGGCTGCAAAATACACTGCAGTACAACAGAGACGGATAAAGTGTCTTTTCCCTACCATTGTATAGGGGAAGTGATCATAGAAGTGATACGACGAGAGAGCTTCTGCGTGAAGGGGCGGGTCTATAAGACGCTTGTGTGGGGCTACCGGCTACTAATAGAATAGAATCGAAAAAATAGAAAGACGAAGGACAGTGTTGCCATTCTGTTAAATCAAAATTATGTTGGCTTATCCTAAATCCCGAATCTTCTAATCCCATTATCTTGCCTACTTAATGAAATATTAAATAAAGTACAAAACAATTTTAAGAATGTTTTCTCTAGGCACATAACAACTTCTTTCTAAAACAAAAAGTAACATGCAGAGCTTTGAAATCATTTCTAAAATAGCAAGTGCAATTCTATGAAATGGCAATACTGTACGATCTTCCTTCCAGTCGCTCCGACACCGAGCTGTCGGTCTGCGGCGGCGACAAAGGAATTATGCCGAAAAAACTTTATAAAGGTGTAGCCGAACAGGGTTGCCGGGTTTATTAGATTATAATTCCATACGAGAACAAAATTCTCGGTAGATCTTCAACAAAAATCAAAAGTACACAAACAAAATAAAATATAATATTTATGTCCAAAATTAGTATTCGTATGTGTCGTAATACTAGATCACTCAAATAAAATACAAATATAGTAAATATAACAAGAATTAGAAATAGGTATATTATATTCAGTGCGAGATTCTGAATCATACGTTCTACTCGCCTGGGGTAGTTTTGTTTTAAGGTTCGACATTTAGTGGTTTAGAGGTTTGGCAATTTCAAGGCCACGCTTCTGATTAGAAAATTTTGAGGTTTGGATATGAGAATGGGATGGGACAGTGATTTCCCCAGTATGGTCTTGGGAGATAAGCTAAGGCTCGCGTGGGCAGGGGCACGTCCCTGCGTGACATTAGGGAAGTGGCAGGTAAACGGTGGTTAAATATAGCACAAAACAGGGAGACATGGAAAAGGATAGGAGAGACCTATATCCAGGAGTGGATGAATCCGGGTTGAGGAAGAGGTATATTATTTAATATTAAAACAATATATTAAATTAAACAATATTAATATATTAATAAAAACTATAACAAGTAGGGATAGCAGTCACTTTTTACCTTTGTACAAATTTTTGATCAGTGATATCTAAAATTAATTTCATTTCAATGGGAAAGCTGTAGCAACTCTCAACTTTTTTTCATATTAATATATTTTTTTGACAGGAAAAGCATTAAAAAATATTTATCCGTATTCAGTTTGTTTCTTAACTTAGATTTTGTTTTTTGTTTATATTTTTTGGAAAAATAAGGGTTTAACTTTAGCAGATGAATGAAACAAAATCTTTTCAAAAGATATTAATTTCTTCGGGCATATCGCCAATACCGCGCCTAATAAAGAGTAATAAGGATTTGTAGGAATATCTTTGTCACTCTGCAACTAGACAAAACCATGACCTATGATTACTAAATAAAATTTAACAAACAATAATTAAGTCAGATTAGACTAAAAACGCAGTTGAACATATCGTTAGATTTTTGTTTAAATCGGTAGATCGGTAGCTTACAGACGAAACCAGTAGACCTGGCAACTCTGTGATGGACTGAAGTGATGGCGTTTTGCGGAGGCGCGGGAAGTGAAATAAAATAATGGGGATAAAGGGCAGGTGGATGGGTATCATGGGTGGATGGGAGGCGGCGGAATTTCCAAAATTTGTTATCTTATTGGAGTTTGTCTAACTCGACAGTCGTAGTGGAAGTGGAAACGGGGAAGTTGTTGCCCATCTCTGTTTAAGCTTAGACTTTCTATAGGCGTTTCATTCCAATGCATGTAATTCCTATGCCTAGATATCGTATTACCGGACCTGTATAGTAGAATGTGATAATATAGATATAGGGAAATTAAAACAACTTTCGTTGCACGTCATCAATAACATCCTGCGTCGTCTTATAGAGTTTGCTGGTCGTATTATGATGTGCAACCAAATTTATTTTAATTTCCCTCTAGTTGTTTTTTATTATTAATTCAATTAACGTCATATTTGTTACTGTTGTTAAATATTACATTTTCCGATAACTATTATCTACCTTTTCGTAGCACTGAACTAAATTAATTTTGTGCTTCTTTATTAGATTATTACATTATTTTAAAACAGCAAAAAATGACTTTAATTAAAATTCTATTAATAACAATCTGTCAAAGAATTAAATCGAAGTTATATTACCATAGAACACCTTTTGATTTTTAGGACTTCAACTGTTAGGAAAGGACTGTTTTTTAACCAACTGTAACCAACTGTTAGGAAAGGATTTTTAAAAATTCAACTGTTCATTTTTTTTGCAAAATTTTTTACGAAGAATATAAACTTATCGAAAAAAGTTAAGGATATGGTGTTTTCGCTAGGAAGACAATTTTTCAGAAAAAATGTGTTATAACTCTGAATACCTATGTCGTTTGTGTTTAAAAAAATACTGTTTGTAAACATAAAAAATTGTACCCAAACAAATAAAAAGCATTATCATCAAAAATGTACATTTAATTTTTGTTTTGAATAGAACTTATTATTGAGTGCGACATTGTGGATATTCTGTCATCGATAATATGAACAAACGTCATTTAACAATAGAGGAAGCAAATCAAGCTATTCGGTTGGTTCTTGGCGGTGCGCGACAGATCGATGTGGCTGATCGATTTAAAGTCACCTAAAGGGTAATTTCTAGGCTTAAAAACCGATTTAATGAGACTAGATCTCTCATGGAGAGGCATAGGGAGGGTCGACCAAGGTCGACAAATGCTAGGGAGGACCGAAGCTTACTGAGAGGAGCTAGGATGGATCCTGCAAGAAACTATACGTTGCTCAGCCAGGACCTTTTGGCTGCCAGCAGAGTACGTATTACCCCTCGGACGATCTTAAATCGAATTAAAAAAGCAGGTTTACATTGCTATAGGCCTATAAGACGCCCTCCGTTGATCGCGAGAGTCAGGTTGAGATCATAAAGCTCAACGTTTGCTCTGGTGTAATGAAAGAGCTACCTGGAAAGATGAGTGGCATACTGCGATGTTCAGCGGTGAAAGCCGCTTTTCTCTTCGTACTGACAGACGTACAGTTCGTGTGTGGTGACTAAGAAATAAATGACTTAACGATCGATATGTTCAAGAAAGGCATCCCTTTGGAGTTAGAGGTGTAATGGTCTGGGGTGGAATTTTCTACGGAGGCCGAACGGAATTGTATGTCTGTGAAGTTACAATGGCAGGTGAAATTTATGCTGACGACATCATTGGAGGATCGCGGAGGACGTCCAATAGGCCTATAGCAATGTAAATTTGCGTTTTTTAATCGATTTAAGACC